AGAATCCAAAAATTTGTATGGAATTGCAAATAACCCAAAATAGCCAAAGCAATCTTGAGAAAGAATAACAAAGCTGGAGGTATCATGTTGCCTGATCCAAACTAACTAAGACACTGTAGTAATCAAAAAAATACGGTAGCATCACAAAAGCAGACACATAGACCAATGGAACAAAATACAGAGCGAAGAAATAAACTCTTGCATATGTGGTCATTTAATCTATGACAAAGGAGGTCAGAATATACAGTGAAGAGCAGACAGTTGTTTCAATAAATGGTGTTGGGAAAACTGAGCAGCTACATGCAAAAGAATGAAACTGGGCCAATATCTTACACCATATACAAAAATAAATTCAAAATGGATTTAAGATTTGAATGTAAGACCTGAAACCATAAAACTCCTAACAGAAAACATAGGCAGTACAATCTTTGACATCAGTCTGAGTAAAAATTTTTACACCAGTCTCCTTAGCAATGAAATAAAAAAATAAATTAATGGAACTACATCAAACTAAAAAGCTTTTGTACAGTCAAGGAAACCATTCACAAAATAAAAAGGCAGCCTACTGAATGGGAGAAGATATTGGCAAATCATATATTTGATATGGTATTAATATTCAAAATATATAAAGAATTTATACAACTTAACATCAAAAAAACAGAAAACCGAAGTAAAAAATTGACAGAGGGCCTAAATAGACATTTTTCCAAAAAAGACATAAAGACAGCCAAAGGACACTCAAAAAGATGCTCAATATCACTAATTATCAGGCAAATCAGATCAAAACCACAATGAAATATCACCTCACACAGTGAGAATGGCTGTTATAAAAAAGACAAAAAGTAACAAGTATTAGTGAGGCTGTGGAAAACAGGCAACCCTCTTACACTGTTGCTGGGAATGTAAATTACTGCAGGAATTATGGAAAACAGTATGAAGGTCCCTGAAAAAATTAAAAATAGAAGTACCATACAATCCAGCAATTCCACTTCTGGGTATTCATCTGAAACAAAAGAAAACACTAACTTGAAAAGATATATGCACTCCTATGTTCACTGTAGCATTATTTACAATAGCCAAAATATGGAAGCAACCAAAGAGTCCATCAATAGGTGAATGGATAAAGATGTGAGATACGTATTTACATATATAATGAATATTATTCAGCCATAAAAAGTAAATAAAACCTTGCTATTTGTAACAACATGGATGGAAAAGTCTATTATTCTAAATGAAATAAGTCAGACAGAGAAAGACAATTACAATATGACTTCACTAATACGTGGAATCTAAACACAAAACAAACAAAGGAACAAAACAGAAACAGACTCATAGATACAGAAAACAAACATATTTTCCAGAGGGGAAATGGGTTGGTGGGCACGCAAAATAGGTGAAGTGGATTAAAACATACAAACTGCTAGTTATAAAATAAGTCACGGGGATGTAGTGAGCAGTAGAGGGAATATAATCAAGAATATTGCGTTAACTTTGTATGATGACAGATGACAAATAGACTCATCGTGGTGATCATTTCATAATATACATAAATACAAAATCACTATGATATGCACCTGAAACTAATATGATACTGTATGTCAATTATACTTCAATTAAAAGAAAACAAACTCCAGTACTAGTGGGTGCAGATAAGACCAACTATTAAATAAACTCTAAAAGAAAGAGAAAATCTGGGGCAGGGACAGGGGCACAGCAGTTAAGTTCGCACGTTTCGCTTCTCGGCAGCCCAAGGTTTGCTGGTTCAGATCCCGGGGGTGGACATGGCAGCACTTGGCACACCATGGTGTGGTAGGCGTCCCACATATAAAGTAGAGGAACATGGGCACCGATGTTTGTTCAGGGCCAGGCTTCCTCAGCAAAAAAGAGGAGGACTGGCAGTAGTTAGCTCAGGGCTAATCTTCCTCAAAAAAAGAAAAAGAAAGACAGAGAAAATCTGAGTAAGACAATTTAAAAAAAACGATTGAATTAGTAATCAAAATTGCCTACAAAGTAAAGCTCATGTCAGGATGGCTTCACTGAGGAATTTGAGCAAGAATTAATATCAATTCTTGGGAAAAATTCCGTCAGAAAATGGAAAAGGAGGAAACACTTGCCAACATATTCAGTGAAGCCCTGATATTGAAAACACGCATAGACATGACAAGAAAAGAACACTATAAACCAAAATCTCCTATGAATGTAGGTGCAAATGTCCTCAAGAATATGTGAGCAAACCAAAATCAGAAATATACAAAAGGACTACTACTCCAAGAAAAACTGGAATTTATCCCAGGATGCAAAGTTGCTGTAGCAACTGAAAAATCATTAATATGATATACCATTATCGATAAAATGAAGGAGAAATACTGCATGATCATCTCAATAAGTGCAGAAAAATCATTTAACAAAATCCAATATGTTTCATGATGAAAATACTCAGTGAATTAGGAACAGAGGGAAACTTCCACAAATAGGTAAAGGGTATCTGCAAACAACCCACAGCTGACATCATACTTGATGGTGAAACACTAAATGTTTTTTCTCTAAGATAAGGAGCAAGATGAGGAAGTCCACTCTCATGATTTCTATTTGACAACTTACTGGAGAGTCAAGCCAAGACATATGGCAAGAACATAAAATAAAGAAATCCATATTGGAAAGGAAGACGTAAAACTACTTCTATTGGGGGATAAAATGATATTATATGGAGAAAATGTTTGAGAATTCTCTAGAAAATATACAATATACCATTGCAATAAATAATCCAAGATAAAATTAAGAAAGCAATTCCACCACAGTCATTATCCTTTAATAACAGGGATATATTCCGAGAAATGCGTCACTAGACAATTTTAACATTGCAAGAACATCATAGAGTGCACTTACACAACTTAGATGGTATTGCCTACCATGCACTAAGGCTATATGGTAAAATTTTATGGGATCACCTGTGTATATGCAGTCCCTCGACTGATATGTTGATATGCAGCTCATGACTCTATAATAGCACCAAAAGACTAACATACTTAGAAATAAATTTAACAAGAAAATTGCAACCTTATACTGTAGAAACTACAAAACATTGTAAAATGTATTTAAGAGATCTAAATAAAAGAGGAGATATCTCATATTCTAAGATCAAAACACTTAATATTGTTTTAATGGCAATTCTCCACAAATTGATATACAAATTCAACACAACCTCTATCAAAATCCCAGCTGACTTCTTTGCATGAATTGACAAACTATTCCTAAAATTCACATAGATATTCAAGGGACCTAAAACTTATCAAATAATCTTGAAAAGACAGAACACAGTTGGAGGAATTATACTAATTGATTTCAAAGCCAACTACACACAACACTATTCAAGAGAGTTTGATACAGATATACAGAAAAGCAAATAAATTGATAAAATAGACATTAGATTCCAGAAATATACTCACATATTGATGGTCAACTGATTTTTGACAAAGGAATGAGCACTCTTCTGAACAAATTCTTCAAGTGAAGCTTAGTATCCACATGTAAAACAATGAAGTCAGACCACCTACCTCAAATCATATATAAAAATTCAAAATGGATCAAAAGCCTAAATGTAAAAATAAAACTATAAGACTCCCAAAGGAAAACATAGGTAAAATATTTTGATATTGGGATTGGCAATGATTTCTTATATGACACCAAAAGCACAACAACCAAATTACAAATAGAGAAACTGGACTTCATCAAAACTTAAAACTTTTGTTCTATAAAGGACACCATAAGAAAGTGAAAAGACAACCTGCATAATTAAAGCTATATTTACAAATCATAAATTTCAAAAGGGATGTATATACAAAATATAACTGAAAGGTTCTTATAATTGAATAATAAGAAGACAAACAAATCAATTAAAAAATTCACAGAGGTTATGAATACATATTTCTCCATGAAAGGTATACAAATGTTGAACAAGCATATATAAAGATGTTTAACATTATTAACATCAGGGAAAAATAACAAATGACAATGAGATATGACTTCACTCCCACTAGTATACCTATAATTACACAAAATACCAAGTGTTGGCAAGGATATGGAGAAATTCAAACCATTATATGTTGCTAGTGGAAATGGAAAATGGTGCATTCACTTTGTAAAATGATATGCCACATCCTCAAAGGTGAAACATAGAGTTACCATATGACCCAGCAATTCTACTTCTAGGTATATATGAAAGAGAAAGGAAAATATGTCCACTCAAAATTTTTTTGTGAATGTTAATGACATTATTCGTAATATTCAGAAAATGCAAAACAAATTTGTTGATCGACTTATTATTGAGTAAACAAAATATGGGATATACATATTATGGAATATTATTTTCCAATAAAAAGGAATGAAGGCTGACATGTTACAACATGGATGAACCGTTAAAATGTTCTGCTAAAAGAAAGGAGTCAGTCACAGAAGACCACATATTGCATGATTCCATTTACGAGAAATGTTCAGAATAGACAGATCTAAAGACAGAAACTAGATTAATGATTGAATGAGGCTTGAGGGTGGCAGACATGAGGCAATTCCATTTAAAGGCTAAAGGTTTACTTATAGATTATGAAAATGCTCTTCAATTGATTGTTGTGGTGGTTGCACAATTGTGTGAATATACTATGAACTATTGAACCGTATACTTTAAGGTTCAACAAGACTGCAGACAAAATTTCATCTCATTTGAAACTTGTTCTTGACAATCTTCCAAATATAGCTGACTTACACATACAAGGGTATCACCGCTTAGCAGACAACAGTACTTTTAAATTAAAACAGATATTAAACACATGTATACAAACAAAGTCATCTACTTTTTGCTTTTCCACTTGCTATCCAAATGCTCTGACTGTCCAGGTCATCTATATACTTTGAGCTGTAGGAGTTATAGTTTAACTTCCTGATTGATTTCTCCTTGAATATAAGCCTGAGCAATGGTACAAGGGATCAGCAATTTGAAAGGAACCATTGCATTCCACCAACATGTCTCTGAAATGGATTTCACTTCTGCTGCTGCTACAGCTGAGTTGTAATGTTAGCCCTGGGAGTGCCGGAAAGGTGCTGGTGTGGCCCACAGACTACAGCCATTGGATCAATATGAAGAAAATCCTGGATGAACTTGTCCAGAGAGGTCATGAAGTGAGTGTTCTGACATCATCAACTTCCGTTCTTGTTGATCCCAACAAACCATCTGCTATTAAATTTGAGATTTATCCTGCATCTTCAACAAGACAAGAATTTGAGGATATTGTCAGAAAAATAACCAACGATTGGACATATCTGATAAAAGAACCGTTTTGGACACAGTTTTCACGACGGCAAGAAGTCCTTCAGGAAGTTTCTGATTATTTTCAAAAGCTCTGTAAAGATGCAGTTTTGAACAAGAAACTTATAAGAAAATTACAAGAGTCAAAGTTTGATCTCATTCTCGCAGATGCTGTTGGACCGTGTGGTGAGCTGTTTGCTGAGCTACTGAAAATACCTTTCGTGTACAGTCTCCGCTTCGTTCCAGGCCATAAAGTTGAAAAGTATAGTGGAGGACTTCCATTCCCACCGTCTTATGTACCTGTTGTTATGTCAGAATTAAGTGATCAGATGACATTCATGGAGAGGGTAAAAAATATGTTATATGTGCTTTATTTTGACTTTTGGCTCCAAACATTTAATGAGAAGCAGTGGGATCAGTTTTACAGTGAAGTACTAGGTAAGTCATGTGTTTGGGTGATGGTTTGAAGTCCTATTTTCCGAGTGCCTTGGAAGGTGAGTTTGTATAAAGTCAGAGGAATTTGTCTTTTATAAGTGAAATGTTGAAAGAAAAATACAAAATTATCTCCCAAACTCACAAATATTATGGAAACACTTAAATTATAGGGTTAGTTAGAATGCTGTGGTCCATTACTACTACAAGACCCTCCAGGAAATCATAAATTAAAAGTTAAAGCACTCAGGAGTTTGTTAAGCACTCACATATCCTTTCTTGTTTATTTGTTTGCTTGTAATAGGCTTTATTTCATAGAAGAGTTTTAGGTCCTCAGCAATATTGAGTAGAGATTTTCCTTACGCCTTGCCCCCTCACATGCATCCATCCCCTATTATCAACATTCCCCACAAGCGAAATAGATGTGTTACAGTTGACGAAATGATATTGACACACCATTATCATCTAAAGCCCATATTTTATATTAGGGTTCTATTTTAGTGTTGTACGTTCTTTGAGTTTGGACAAAATTATAACGTCACATGTCCACCATTAAAATATCATAAGTGTAGTTTCACTGCCCTAAAAGTACTCTGTGCTCTGCCTAATCATCCTACACATCAATTTTACTATAATTTATTTCATCTTCAATAAAAATCATTAGAAATTTCACTAAATATCTTGATCAAAAAAGACATAAGATTGATGAGTAACATATTTCTAGCACAACAGTGTATGGCGCCGTGAGGTAATTGTTTCCCCTTATTTAGTTTTGTTTCATTTAAAAAATAAACTATTTTGCCGTATCACCTGAAGGAGTATTACCTGAAGGAGTCCTTCACAATTGCTCTATCACAAACACGTGAACACATAATTAAAATTTTTAATGATTACACATTCCTTCACTGAGTACTTATAAAACATGTTTTAAAGGCCTAAAATTTTGTCAAAAGGTAGATATACAAGTTACAAGCCATACTTTCTAAAAACAATGTCTCTACTTTACAGATAAAATGAGCCACAATTAAGGGTGAGCACACCTATTTCCATACTTTATGAAAACTTTCCAGCTATTTTTTGCAAAGACATTTATTTGATATGCAAAATTTATTAAGCTCCTTATATGAACCAAATACCAGTGTGGCCATACTTTCTAAGCCTTAGTTTACTTGGAAAATCTAGGATCAAGGGAATAGCTTTCTAAATTGTAAAACTGGAGGGAGTGCTTCAGGGAAACAAGTGTCCGTGGGTATGGTAGGGAGAATTGATGGAGCAGTTGAAATCATTGTTTACATTTGCATTAATTACTTTTGCAGCTTTACAGAAAAGCAAACGCAAGTTTAATTTTTTAGTGGCTTAGGTTTAATAATTGTTTATGATTGGGAATGCACTGATGTGATCTTAGAGATGAAAGTCTCATGCTTTGTCATATATATATATATATATATATATATAACATATATAAAACATGCATATTATATATATATACACATGCATAATTGTATTGCGAAACCACAGACACGTTTCAACATCTTTGGCTATATCATTTTAAGCTCTTTTCAGAAAATGACCGGGTATATTCACTTTAGAAAACTCTCATTTCCTTTCATTTGCTTTTTTTTTTTTTTAAAGATTTTATTTTTTCCTTTTTCTCCCCAAAGCCCCCCGGTACATAGTTGTGTATTCTTCGTTGTGGGTTCTTCTAGTTGTGGCATGTGGGACGCTGCCTCAGCGTGGTCTGATGAGCAGTGCCATGTCCGCGCCCAGGATTCGAACTAACAAAACACTGGGCCGCCTGCAGCGGAGGGCGCGAACTTAACCACTCGGCCACGGGGCCAGCCCCTTTCATTTGCTTTTTTTCCTTCAGGAAGACCTACTACGTTACTTGAGTTAATGAGGAAAGCTGATGTGTGGCTTGTTCGAAACTATTGGGATTTTGAATTTCCTCGCCCATTCTTACCACATTTTCAATTTATTGGAGGATATCACTGCAAACCTGCCAAACCCCTGCCTAAGGTGACCTATTCCTGTCTGTGTGGTTGGTTTACTTTGCATTTTCATTAGAATTGATTCTGTGTTCTTTATTTAGAATGTGTGATTACAGTGAAAGATATGGGAAGCTGTGTAAACTGACCTACCAATTAGAAACTCATATATTTCAATACCATTACAAGACACCGAATTTCATCATCATTGCAGAATAAAGTAATACCTGAAAGACTTTGGGAATAGGGTCAGTCAAATTAAGGCCTCATTACTCACCACATTAAAAAGTATCAGTCACTCTTTCAAAAATATTCTTGTTTTTTTTTTTTTTTCTGGTGCACGACGATTTGCCCTAGCTAACATCTGCTGCTCAGCATCCTCTGTTTGCGTGTCATTTGCTGCCACAGCATGGCCACTCACAGACAAGTTGTCTAGGTCTGCACCCGGGAACCAAGACCAGGCCACCAAAGCGGAGTGTGCCGAACTTAACCACTAGGCCACCAGGTCTGGCCCTCAAAGAATGTTCTTAAAGTGATTAGCACGTTCCAGAGCTATCTGCTGGTATGCAAAGAAGCAGCAGAGACACAATCTTCCCCCATACATACCATACATTCTACTTGGAAACTAGAATATAAGTATGTAATAAAAACTCTGTAAAGTATTATAACAAGGAAAGACCACAATGCTAAAGAATATCCAGTGGGCATCATAGAACAATGATTAGAATCCGAAAGTATACTGTTTGTATTGGAAAGGTTACTTCATTAATTTCTGGAGAGAAAAGAACTAATAATGAATTTAAAACTACAAGGACTGAACCAAAAAAAAGGATGAGTATGAAGTTTTGACAACATATACGGGAAATTTTTGGCTCTTCTACATTTGTTTTTCTTGGAATGAGAGTATACTGAGCCATAAGGAATTATTCCAGGACTGAGAGTAATAAATTGATTCTAAATTGGCAAGAATGTGGGAATACAAGTCAGAATAATTCTGAAACAATTCCTGGCAAGAGGGTTATCAGCTCTCTGCTGCAGAAAGCCTGCTGTACCTCTCCCACTGTGGGACAACTGCTCCCTGGAGAACTCTGGGAGGTGATAACGAGGGCCCCTCCCAGCCAGTTACACATAGCACATTCTACTAGGACATCCTGTTTACAATATTATTTCAGGGCCAAAGGTGTCATACATAAACAAACCAGAAATACGGTCACTCAAATAAGTAATATACATGAATATTTCTGGATTATAAATAGGAATCTTAGGGCTATTTCATGGAAAATCCAAACAGTAATATCAGACTGATTTTTCTGATGAGTCTGAGATTACTCATCAGCAATTCTCCAGCCTTTAAAGAGTGATTTAGGGGGAACTCGGGAAATACCCATGAAGTTTAGGTGAATTATTATAGAGCTGAGAGGAAAAAGATATAAAGTCATCACAATCATAGAAGATTTTCATAGTGCTCATAGTCAGAGGAAGTAAATACTAATGATTAAACTAAAATAATTCTCCAGAAAACCCGTGTGGTATAAACACAAATGATTTAGTAGAACTATAACAATAAAGAATCAAAGGTGAGTCAAGATGTCGCTGTATGGCCTCCTTCGAAGAGTCTATATTAGTAATTAATGACAGTGTAAATGAAGAGACTAGGCATAATATTGTCTGCACTGCTGTATATTGGCTATTTCACTTCTTTCTTACACACACATAAATTTGTACAAATACACGTAATAAAGGAAATTAATCTCATATCAATTGTATCATTCCAAAGGAACTGAGGGATTACATCTGTTATACACAGTCACTGAGGAAAACAGAATGGAGGTTCCTCAAAAAATTAAAAATACAATTGCCATAAGGTCCATCAGTTCCACTTCTGGGTATTTATCAAATGCAATTGACATTAGGATCTCACTGAGATATATACACAGCCATCTGCATAGCAGCACTATTCACAAGAGTCAAAATGCAGAAGCAACCCAAGTGTCCATCAATAGATGAATTAATAAACAAAATGTGGAATTTACACACAATGGAATATTACTCAGCCTTAAAATTGAAGGAAATTCTAACACACACTACAACATGAGTGAACCTTAATGGCATTATTCTAAGTGATACGGGACATTCACAAAATGACAGATACCATATGATTCACTTATATAAATTATCTAGACTAGTCAGATTCATAGAAGCAGAAAGTAGAATGACAGTTGCCACGGAATTATTGTATAATGTGTACAGTTTCAATTTGAAAGGTGAAAAGTTCTGAAGATTGGTTGTACAACAATGAGAAGGTACATACTACTGAACTATACACATAGGAATTGTAAACATGGTAAATTTTACGTGACATATGTTTTACCACAATTAAAAATAATCAGGGACTGCACTAGTAATTCCTGATAGTAGATGATTTTCTCTCCATATTTGTTTGCAGCAATCCTTTCACTACTGTTTGCTATGGTGATGTTCTTTTGTGATGGAATAAGTTATTTCTTCACAGGAAGTGGAAGAGTTTGCCCAGAGCTCTGGAGACAATGGTATTGTGGTATTTAGTCTGGGGTCAATAATCAGCAACATGACAGAAGAAAGAGCCAATGTGATTGCATCAGCCCTTGCCCAGATTCCACAAAAGGTTAGATGAAGTACCTTATACTGGACAGCTATTTAATTTATCTGTCATATTTTGAAAAGGGTGTGATTACAGAAATTTCCTACAGGAAAGGTAAACTACACTGCATTATGATAGATCCAATTTATCTCAAAAATGAGTATAAAAGCAAAAGTATACATGACAGGTGTGAACAGTGCAGAGGGTGTTTTTATTGACAATAATTTTGGCATTAACATTTGGATCAGATTAAATATATTTAACAGATGCAGCATGAAGTTTGGGTATTATAATGATATTGTGGGCAGGTACACATATCATCAAATTCTGCTCTGTCATTTGCTCCTTTTCCTTGAAAGATTCCTGAGGGCACTGTACATGCTAAAGATGTTCTCAGACAGAAGTCAGGGGCTGGCTCCATGGTGTAATGGTTAAGTTCAGAGTGACCAGCCTCAGTAGCCTGGGTCTACGGATTTAGATCCCGGGCATAGGCATACACCACTCATCAGCCATGCTGTGGTGGTGACCCACATACAAAATAGATGAAGATTGGCACAGATGTTAGCTCAGAGTTAATCTTCCTCAGCAAAAAAAGAAAGAAAGAAAGAAAAAAAGGAGGTACATTTTAACAGTAACATTAAACAAGAAATGATAACAGTCTGAAAGGTATCCTGAAATGTAGGCTTGCCAGGTAATCCAGGCCTCATTTACTTCCCTTCAATTTCAGAAAAGGCCTATTCAATGTGCTGTTCAGGGAGCTATACAAAGAAAGGATGGCCGAGGCTCACCAAGCTGCATCCAGGTTCCTATCTAGCCACAAACATTTACAGAGAGAGAAAAAACAACTGGAAAACAAGAGAAAAACCTGTCCTCATGCATCAGGTCCTTGCTAAAATTGGAACAGGGAAAGAAAAGAAATTGTGGAGGTGGGTCAGCCCTTAAGGCGGTCCTGTGTTTTACAAAATATGGATCTGCAAGGACTCTGCTTCTAACCCATTTGAATAATAACTCCTCTCAGTTGAAGAAGGAGAAGGGAATCTTAAAAGGAGTCAATTAGAAGCCAGGCTAGCATAAGAAAGTTTCAAATGTTTACTTCTCCATAAAATATGGCAGTAAATTATTTCTAATATATAGAATATACCTGGAGTCTCTGTATATTTGTGAACTACTTTTTAGTTTCCTAACTGATACAGCTTTCTGCTTATCATCTATGCTAATTTGATGAGAACTGAAGTTGCTTTAAGACTCACATAGCAAATAGATGTTAACCACTGGTAATTTAAAATCTGGCTTATGAGGGTTGCTGAGGAATTGCAAAATCTGCAACTAATTTTGGTACTGGGCTTGGAAATGGCTTGGCTATAAGAAACCATATTGATCAATACTGTCAAGGTTGGAATGCATCCTGAAAGTGTTAACAGTCAGTTGAGTAAAATTTAGCACCATCATGATATTCAATTTTTTTCAACAGCAATACTCTTATATGTGAAGTACTAAGAGGCTCTTCTTTTCAACATGTAAAGAATTTTCAAACCTAGCAATAGTGATAATACTCTGGATTCATGTAAAAAATTACTACTTGAAATTTTTCTTGGAAGTAGTGGGATTAACAATTAGTAAACTTTAACGTACTTAGCAAGTATAAATTATTTGTTATTAAAAATAAATAGTTAATAATCAGAATTATTTTTCTCACAAATAGCTGAATGCACACGTTTCCCATTAGGTAAATCAAAATGTGAAACTCTAATGATATAACTTATAGGACAAGTGAATATAAGTAAATCGCTTCTCCCAACACTCAAAAAGTAATAAGCCAACTAATATTAAATTTGGCAGCTGAGAGCTAATATAATAGTTAAATTAGTAGATCATTCATAATTTGCCCTTTTTTTGTACTAGAATTAAAAGAACCGCCTAAAAAAAATTTATGTGCTTGAATTCGTCATTAAAAATCTGATTTGTCTAGTCCAAGTGTGAAACATCATGATGCAATCACATTTGATTGAATATAAAATAAGTACATGAGACATGAGAATTCCTATTGTATCCGTGATTTATTGGTTCTCATTACTTAGCATCTCTTCTCCTCATTTCCTCACCTGTCATGATGAATAGATTTAACTAGAGGCCTCCTAATCTATTTAGATTCTAACGTGCTGTACTTTGAAGTTTGACTCATGGAATAAGGCATTTTCTTTATTCTAACAGGTTATATGGAGATTCGTTGGCAAGAAACCAGATACCTTAGGGGCAAATACTCGGCTCTATGAGTGGATCCCCCAGAATGACCTTCTCGGTAAGATTCTGGAAAGCAAAAACTGTAATGAGAGTTACTCCAATCAGATAACAATAGTTCAGCAAGAGACGAGTTTATTAAACATTTATTATTGGAAAGCTCAAAATTAAAAATTAACTGTCTCATATTTATTTCCCAGTCGTAGGGGGAAAAGATAACTGTAACCTTTCCTTCCTCTGATTCCTGCACCACCACCATCAACTTCCTGCTGCCTTGACACGCTACTTATCAGACTCACTGACTTCATTATTTCATTAAGGGAATACATTCTAACATATCCACTCCCCCCCTTTTTTTCCACCCCATTCTTTTTTTATCCAGCATGTTCTGTTTCAATTTTGTCCACCTGGCCATCATGTATTCACTTTTCATGTCTTAAGGCATACACTAATCTGTAGCCTTCAATTATCTCTACAGCAACTTTAGATTCAGCTTCCTCTGAGCTCTGAAAGACATTTTAATATAGTTTCATGTATGTAATAATGTGTTATCTAGAATAAAGTGCCTCTTTCAATGTCTTATATTGCCCTACTCTCATTATATTCTAAGACTTATACATAACGGTTTGCTGAAATTCACCCTATCCTAGGTCATCCAAAAACCAAAGCCTTTATAACTCATGGTGGAGCCAATGGCATCTATGAGGCGATCTACCATGGGATCCCTATGGTGGGCATTCCTTTATTTGCGGATCAACCTGATAATGTTGTTCACATGAAGACCAAGGGAGCAGCTGTTAGACTGGACTTCACTACAATGTCAAGTACAGATTTGCTCAATGCATTGAAGACAGTCATTAATGACCCATCGTAAGTATCACTATTTTTTAATAAGTACTATTTACAGATAGATCTTTTTGCCAATGATGAGTATGAGTTTCACCCCTTTTTAAGAGGCTAATTATAAAATTATTAATGATTTAATCAATCTTAAAGCTACTTTTATTTTCACCCAGACATTTATTTCAAAGTTGTGTCTTAACCCCATAGATTTAATAGGTAACCAACTGGGACAACAATTTTCTCCTCAAACAGTCTAACGTTGCATAGGTAATTGTAAGAAGGACACACTGCTTAAAATATGATATCCAAGAAGATAAGAATGATGAACAAGCTATATCCTAAATTGCTTCAATTCAGTAGTTAACATTTCTGAAACTATAAATCTATTTATATCAAAAATGGATTTTATTATTATTATTTTAGCAGATTTTATAATAAGATACAATTACATACTTAAATTCACCATTAAAACTATAAAATTCAAATATATGTAGTGTGTTTACAGAGTTATGAAACCATCATAATGATATCCATTTAGGACATTTTCATCACCACTAAAGGAAATGTGACATGCATTAGAAGTCACTTCTTATTCCCCCCTGCCCAAGCAACCATTAATCAACTTTCTGTCTCTATAGATTAGACCTTCTGGACATTTCATTTACATGGAATCATATACTATATGGTCTTTTGCAACTGGCTTCTTTCACATAGGATAATGTTTTTGACTTTCTCCCGTGTAATAGCTTTGTACTGCTGAGTAATATTCTATGATAAGGACATAGCACATTTTATTTGCCAACTCATCAGTTCATGGCTATTTTCGTTGTTTCTCATTTGGCTATCAGGAATATTGCTATATGTGCTTTTGTGTAAACATATATAAAGTTATCAGTACTTACAGTAAATCTAAACAGACTAAATCATTTAAAGACAAAGATTGTGAGAATGGACTTTAAAAACTGACTTCATATCATATTTACAAGACATGCTAAAATAGAAGAGTACAAGAAAATTGTAAGCACAAAGGTAATAAAAGATATTTTTCAACAATAACTATGGAAGGATGTAAAGCTATACTAATATCAGAAACAGTAGAACAGAAACGCTGCTAAAATAAAAATAAACACTTCATAATGTTAAATAGGTTAATCCTTCAAAACAGTACAAATGATTAATTAGAAACACCTACTAATAAATCCTCCAAATAAACAAAGTAAAAGTAGACAAAAAGATAAAACAGATCGGGAGAGTATCAAGATGGTGGCATAGGCAGACTCTGAACTCAACTCCCTCCCACAAACACAAACAAGTTATAACTATTTTGGAACAATTACCCACAAGCGAGAACTGAAAACTGGGTAAAAATAATGGCTGCAACCAAGGAAAGTACCGATTAAGGCAGAAGAAGCAGAAATTCCTGTCTGGAGAGAAAAAACACCTTTGCAAGTCATGGAGTTTCACAGCAAGCTGGCCTGGAACAATCATACGTTATGCACCCTTCCTTGGAGGAACAGAGGACCTGAGTAGGGGAGTGTTGCCACTATAAGCATCCTTCAGACTCAGCACATCTGAGACAAGTCTCATACTGTCTGGCTTTGCTGGCTATTAACTTCAAGGAAGAACAGCCCTAGGAAAGCTATCATACATAAGCAGAAAAAAGCCAAGTCTTAAAGGGCCCATGCACAAATTCACCCACTGGGGAAAGCAACATAAATCACAAGAAAAAAAGGTGAACAATCCTTTGGTGAAAAGACACTCAGCTTATAGGCTCTGGGTGCATCTCAGTGAGATGTGAGTACTCTCAAGGAAGTGAGAAATTGGTAGCAGCCATTATTGTGTCTTAGTACAGGTGTGCTGACACAGATGCTGGCAGACGCCATTGGAGTTCTTCCTCTGGCCTGTTAGCCCAGGGTCTGCCCCACCACTTAGTGGGCAAGTTTAATCCATCT